CCCAGAAAGCATGGTCTTGTCTTTAGTCCCCAGTAGTGCATACAGACAAGGCTGTGTGTGTGCGTATGTGTGAAAATATACGTTCTGCATATATTTTCAGAGGCTCTAATCCTCTTCTGTATTTCAAGCAAAAATCCAAACAATGATTCCACCATAACCATCTTTTCTTTGAAATATGCTTCTTTATTATGCAAATTAATTATATTCTTTGATGATCAAAGCAAAAACATAAAAGCAGGGAAATAAAAGTGGTGATTATAGTTATTATAGATGCTTGCTGTTTATTTCAGTGGTTATAAGCACCAAGGCTGACATGCAATGAAATTCTGATCCACCTGCTGACAAAAACTTCTTCCAGAACCGGACAGGACAGTGATTTCCACTTTTCATTTAAAGAAAAGGACAGAAGAATATTCTATATTTATGCTAGCTCAGCTTTTTGGTGTGAGGCCTCAGATCAGCAGCAGCAGCAGGAGGTCGACCTCTTCAGTCTGTGCAGTTCTGGGTAAAAGAACAACGAACAAAAGAAAGATAAAAACTAATAAGTAATTTGATGTAGATAAAGAGTTGTTTATCTTTGTTGTTTTTACCAGGAGCACTTATAAAGCTTGTTGACACGGGCGATGTCATTGACGCTCATTTGTTTGGCGTGTCCAAACTTCAGGTTTGGGTTGCATTTGGCAACGATGGTTGGTTTCCCATTTTTGGAGAACGCTTTGCTTTAAAAGAACAAATACAGTAAAGATGATTAAAGCAGAGCAAACGTTATACTTTATTACTGCGTGCACGCTCATAAAGACTCACTTGTCATATTCCATGACAGATGTGAAGTCATATGGAGTCCCCAGGTTGTTAGTTTGCTTTTTGTCAAAGTTGTGCCTTTCTCCTATCCAGGGATTCAAAACAAAGAAAACATTCAGTCACAATTATTAGTTAAACTTATGGTCAAGTGATTGATGTAAAAGTTAAAAAAGCGAATCAAGTGTACTTTTTTCTCTTCTGTTTGTTGTTTTATTTAGTTTCTATATTACAAATAGAACTAAAATGCTATTAATTCACACAAAACCTGTAGTAATGAACTTCTTGGGTATTTAATGTTTATATTTTTATGCTACATACTTAATATTATGAAAATACACACATACGCATTTTTCTGCTAAGCTGACTGGTTCCATTTTGCACATTTTGAGCAAAAATATAAATTTTACTTGACACAGTTGATTAAAATGTTTTGTGAACTTCATCCTCACATGTAAGGTTCCTGAAAATCTAAACCATATCAGGGATAAAATGACTCATTCATAGAAATATGTATATTTTTCAAATTAACCATTTGAACGGCTCTTCAGAGTGAAGAGATCCTGGTGATTCTGTTTCCATCACTATTTTTTTAACAAACATTTGAAACTTTTTGTGGGAATGTAATGTTTAACAATCCTCTGGACTTGCATCATTGAATAAAGTATGTTTTAAAGATACAAATTTACTAAAACCTTTATTTTAATTTGTGTAAGTGAAGTACAGAATAATGAAATGGATTCTTTTGACTTCAAATGTACCTTTCTTAATGTTCTGGAAGAGAATCCAAACGTATTTGTCTCTGTCGGAGCGGACCTGCTCATGGTTGAAGCCCAGAGCGTGAAGAACCTCGTGCTGCACTGTGGAGCGATACAGGCAGCCGTTTTTCTGCAGAGAGACTCTCTGTTCTTTGCCCTGACGTCCAATATAGGACCAACATCTGAAATATAGGCAACATTTTAAACATATTTTAGGAAATAATTACATTCTCAGGCTGGGGCCCAATAGAAGTTTAATTATTGTTTCTGGTGTGATTATTTGTGGTTGTGCTGCTAAGCTGTTGGCTGAACTTTCACTGTGACTTCCTGTTTGTGTTTAGCTGTTTCTCTCCTCGATGAAGCCACTAAAGGAGCTGGAATAACTTTTCTAACAGAAAGTTTTCCTGGATCAGTGCATCTGTGTTCTTATGTGCACATTGCAAAAACATAAAATATTTCCAAGTATTTTTGATTGAGTTTCTTGTGCAAATATTTTAGCACACTTGAAATAAGAAAAACAAGCATTTAGCATAATGAAGGAGCTTGTTTTAAGTAAATTATCCTTTAATATTGTTGAAAAGGTTTTATTTCCTTTGGCATGTTAAACATGCTTGTTTTAAGCAGAGAAGCCACATTTAGAGGTATGTAGAGGAAAAATGTCTGGTTTAGGCATAAATACAGCTGCTAAACTGAATGGCAGTTAAAGCAAAGTCCACAGTTTGAATTGCATGGATTTGCATGCATGTGTGTGTGTGTGTGCTTGCATGTGTGTGTTCATACCCATCGCCTGAAAAGAATCGGATGAAATCGCGATGACATGATCTCTTTGGGACAAAACGAATGCAAGTGCAGCCATGGAAGCTCTTGAGGCCATTAATGATGAACTTGCGTTGTTTCTTTGCTACAGATACGTTCAGTCAATAGAATATTTTACCAATGTCAGTTGAATGAAATCAATATTAAGGCAACATTGATTGCTTAATGTAAATAATTATCCAATCAGTTCTGCTCACAGAAGCCAGGGGCGATCACGTAGGGCACCTTAACAAAGCGTCCAGATTTGGGCCACTTGCAGCCTCTGGCGGTGCATGGGTCCGCATTCCTGGTCTCAATGTCGGGGATGGCGATGTCATCAAGCAGCTTAGGGGTTTCTACTGCAAATCAAGCATAAAATCCCCCAAAATCGACATCAATATTAAAATAATTACTGCTTTAATTGTGCATCTTCTACCTAAATAAGCCCAAGCAACAACTAACTTACATTTACATAAGTTAACTTTTAGCACTGTTTTAGTGTAATTCTCCTACTGTCTTCTCTAAAGCTTAGATTATCTCCCATTAAGCATCAAGCCGTGTTCATCTGTGTTTTCTACATTTTGTGTAACACAAAAGCCGTTTTGTTCTTCCTGCAGCAAACCAAACATCCAACGTGATGTTTTTTAAATTATGAATATTCAGTTATTACATTGCACATTTGTCTTTTAGCAAAGCTGAAACATTCTCTCTCCTAATCATGTATAAAGACATGATGCCACTGAAAAAGCAGAAAAATAACATTATTTAAACATTTATATAATAATACAGATTTTATTTAACTCACCAGATTCATTGTCATCATCAAGTGGTGTGCTCTGCAAAAACACAAACAAGCGAAAATACGAAAATCAAAATGACAATAATATTTCTGCTAAAAATATTTTTCCAAGCTAATTTTAGCAGTTTTTCTACTAAGAGCAGAAGTGTTCTGTTTTTCACCTTTGATTTCCCTTTCACTACATTTACAATATGTTTCTACTATGAGTTTCATTCCCAGGTTCAGATGCCAGTTTATTTTAACTTAGTCTTTCATTTTCAAGAATTACAACCTCATTAAAGGTAAAGTTTACCTCATTATTTCAAACTTACCAGCAGGACATTTGTCACTGAGAACAAAAGGAGGAAGAGGACGGCTGGAATCATGATGAAGGTGACCTAAAGTCAAATCACAAACAGTGATTCATCCACAAAGATGTGCCAAGTGACAAACATGCATCAAAGAATAGGAAAACATTTCAAAGAATCTGCAAAAACAGTTATCAGTTCAGTGACATTATCATGGTGTGTATAGAGAAGCGGAGAACCTTCCAGATGCTGCAGGAGTTTGATGCAGGATGCAGTTCAGGTTCGTCTCTTCTCCGTTTTTATGCAGCTCGGAGGGAGTGGCTGAACTCCACCGTTTGGGTTTTCACGGGCTTGGAAAAAAATGTGAAAAAAAAACAAACAAAAAAAAAAAAACTGAGAAAGTAAAATTTTCAGAACAGGGAACTAATAATGAAAGTGAACTAATAACGTTTCACCAGAAACTAGAACCTTCAGCAGAGTTTAGACAGGTCACCGGAATCAACAAGATTTTTAGGGCTGAAATTAGTATGATCAAGTTTTTCTAAGCATAGTCATCAAAAGATGAATGAAAATAAATGCTGCAGTTTGATGTTTTTACTAATATTAAAAAGGATATAGTCTAAAAAACAATCTAATAACATAAGGTGAAAAAGGTCTATAAACTTACAACATTTCCACTCTTCCTGAGTATCTTTTGAAGCAGTTCTTTGTTTTATTTTTAGCGTACCAAATAATTTTGTTTCTTCATGAATTTCTACATGTATTTCCTTCTGTGCAGCTTCTTTAGAACTATCACCATCAAACAGGAAGCTGCAAATGAGTAAAGAACTAAAAAAATTAGTTAAACCCTCCAACACTTCAATTACTTCTTTCTATATAGACCAACAACTCATAGCTAGTGTAACTGCTGAACATATTGAGCCAAGAACAATTGTCCAGCAAAACCATTTCTATAGGTTTTCTGTAGAGAGGAGAATTACAGAAAATTACTGCACAAATATTCTACCAAAATGAATAAAATCTTGAAGCCAAACTGGAGGAAGTGCTATGCTTCGAGGAGAAAATTGTTCTGTAAAGAATGCACATTGATTAAAAAATAGACATTTCTATGTGTTGGACAGTCCTTATACCCCCAAGCACCTTGTGCATCACAGCAGCATCAGTAACATTCAGGTCAAGCCTCTTATGATGCTGAAATAATGTTTGGCTTGAAATGAGACAATTCATGCAGGAACTAAATCAACTTTCTGTTTGGTGGTGATGAAAACAACATGGCCGACATGTACGGTTTAGATTTTGATATTCTTGGTAGAAATGTTTCAGACGCAATGTTGCATTTTGCCATTACTGCACAAAACAAATGTTCTGAACTTTACTTATGGTAGTTATGGCCAAATTTCTTTGTTTTAGAAAAAATACTTGTATTTGTCTGACATTAAAATGTGACTTTGAGGTGTGAATGGTGCATAGAGACAAATAACCTGAAAAGTATAGAAGTCTGGACTGTAAGGACAGAAAAACTTTTTTGCTGCTGCTAGAATAGTATGAAAAATCATCGAACTTTAAAAAGTCATTCAGGGTAAAGGTGAAGTCACATATATTTCAAGACCTGAACATCCGGGCAAGATTCTTGCAACAGCACCATTGTCTTACTGAGGTTTTACATGTTGTGGGTTTTAACTCAGCCTATCAGTAATAAAGACACAGACTGATTGGCCTTATATGGTCTGTGTTTGATTTGAGTGAACGTCTTAAAAGCAGGAGAGCTGAGCATCAGTTGCACAGTTTCAGACTTCTGTCAGCCTCTCTTCCATCACTGCTGAAGTTTTGGATTTCAGAGTCACCGTCATGACACCAGCTCTGCTCTTCATCCTCATCTTCACAGTGGCAGATGTCACTTTGGTGAGTTTAGTTTTGGAAAGTTTAAATTTGAAGCAACCAGAAATATTTAGGAACTTTTAATCTGTTTTATTTTTTAAAAGAAAGAGTGATCTGATAAAGTTTGCATTTGTTGAAATTGTTTCTATTTGTGTCGCAGAGTGCACCAGTTGACGATTATGAAAATGGTGAGTGGAGTAAAATCACCAGCATTTGATGCATTGATCTTTAATTCTGTAATACTGTGTTGTTTTTTTTACTTGTTTTTATCCAGATGAGTCAGTGGGTGATTCTGAAATCGTTCCAAGACCCAAAGCTGACTTGAGTAAGACAATTTTTCAAAACAGAAAGTCAAAATAGTCACAATAAAAGGAACCTGATTGCAGATACAAACACTTGCTTAGTCAAATTTGTAAATTTGTGGTTTAGCTTTATTTAATAGTACATGTTGCAGCTAAAAAGACAGGTTTTTCTCAACAAGCAGACACAGTGCAGAGCATTAACACTTCCCCATAATGCATGTTGCATTTCCTTTTTGCTGTGTTGCAGAAACAGCTATGCTGCAGGGTGACATCGCAGTGCCGAACACTTTGAGCAGGAATGCAGATGAATGCACCGACAGAGGCTGCAAGTGGCCAAAATCAGGACGCTACGTTTACGTGCCGTACTTCATCTCTGAAACTTTCTGTAAGGATCTTTGATTTTACCTTCGACTCATGAAAACAAATATAAAATTAGCTCTCTTTGTTATCATGTAGCTTTACACAAAGTTCCATGTTTCCCACCGGTCTGTAGCTCAGGAAGAGCGTGACATCATCATCAGGGGACTGCAGGGCTTCAACCAATCCACCTGCATCCGCCTCATCCCGTGGAAGCCTGGACATCGTGATCACATCTACATCGAGTCTAAGGATGGGTAGGAACACACACACACACGCACACACACACACACACACATATGCACACGCCCACACACACAGTTATGTTTTTATGACTTGTGGGGACTTTACCTTGTCTTCCATTCATTTTCGTGGGGACCCCATGAAAATGTCCCCACAAACACAGTGGTCCCCACATCCCCACATTGTAGACTAAATAGGTCCCTAGAAGTGAATAAAAACTTAGTTCACACACACACACACTTAATAGAAACTACACGACCAATACTGCATCACACATTATAAAGTAAAATGAACTCTACATTTTTTATTGTTTTAAGATTTTTCTTATCACTAATTAAAGTGATATTACTTTAAAGTTTTACTTTAATGTAAAACTTCATGTATTTAAGACATTATTTTTCTTAGAGTCGGTAGCAACTGGTTACAATTACTTGAGTAACTATTTTAAAAATATACTTTTAGAAGGACTTTTACAACGCTGAACTTTTTACTTTTACTTGTGTGAATGTGAATGAATGAAGGTGATGTATCGCCTTCTCAGTTTTTCTTACTATTGCAGGCCATGTTCTGACAGTACAAAACTTTGTGCAACTGTAAATATTTAGTTTTTTTACGTTTTAGGTGCTGGTCCTACGTGGGCCGTCAGAATGGGGGACAGTACTTGTCCCTGCAGAAACCAGGCTGCGTTTACAATGAAGTTGTGCAGCATGAAATTCTTCATGCTCTTGGCTTCAACCATGAGCAGGTCCGGTCCGACCGAGACAACTACGTCAGGATCCTCTTTGACAACATTGAACCCAGTTAGTTCACACACACAAAATAAATTGACTCACATGCCTGTGTAAAAATGATACATAAAGGTTTAACTCTGCTCTGAATTCTGATGTAGATTATAAATTTGCTTTCGAAAAGAAGCAGACAAACAACTTGGGGACTCCTTATGACTTCACCTCTGTCATGGAGTACAGGAAGTGAGTTTTTATGACAATGCACGTATTGCTTTATGTGAATATAAATTAACTTCTTTTCTCCTGCTGTGTGTAGTTGTTTTTCATCTAATTAGAGAAAAGTGCATAAATGTGAAACAGTAAACTAGATAATTGCCAGTAATGACCGAATGCCTTATTTTCAGTGATGCCTTTTCCAAAAATGGAAAACCAACCATTGTTGCCAGGTGCAATCCAAACCTTAAATTTGGAAATTCAAAGAAAATGAGTGCCAATGACATCATCCGCATCAACAAACTTTATGAATGCAGTGAGTAAAACACAATGCATAAATGAATCATGCTGTTGACATTCAAATATGCTAATGTCACTTGGTTCTGATTCTTCCCTCAGCAGGACTTCCTGGGTTGAAGAGGTTGGCCTCCAGGCCTAAACATCCTAAAAATGAACAACTTCCCTTCTAGACATAAATGACATGCAATCAGAGAAATACATCACATTTACCCTGGTTATTAATATATAACTGACTCATGAAAGTAGAAGTTATGTATTAGACATTGTTTCTTTGGTCCACCTCATGCAGGAAGCAGGTCAGGTTTGTTGGGTCACTTTTGCAGCGTAAATTATCTGAAATGCTCAAGCCAGAATCTCTATAATCCTCTCATTTTCCTTTTTATGTTTCATATCTGATTCAGAAAATCTGACTCACAGTTATTTTTAATTTGTGGGATAAATAATAATAAATATATTAATATATATATTAATAATAAATAATTAAGCCTCTCTGTTTATAATTTAATACAGTATTTAGGAAAAACAGCTCAGTTAACAGAGATATACATTTGGCTTTAAAACACGGCTTCTCTTTTGAAAATGGAATATTTGATGGCTTTCTATATAATTAATTTTAAATATGCCAAATGTTTTATGTCACAAAAAAGAAAATGTACTGAAAGAAAAAAGTTCACTTAATTTCTATGTTAAAAATATGAGCAAGTAAACAGTTAAATTTAACCTAATGTGTTAGATGATGAGAGAAAACTAGGTATCGTTTTAATGGCTTTTAATGCATTTTACACTTTCACATTTCTTTTCTATCATTTATTCTGTACAAATTACAATTAAAGCCAAAGCATGTGCATCATTTCTGTGGTTTTGACTGTTTATTTAAAGCATTGTACTGGCTAGACTTTAACCTACTGTCAGTTCCAACGGTGCTCTTGCATCATCTTAAGAAATGCATTGAGTTTTTAAACATGCTCATTCTTTGGAGGAAGGTCAAGTTATGTTTTACCACTGATTTCATTTTTTGTTCTACATTATTATAAAAGTATCACTTTAATATTGACTCCTTATAGATGTTTATAGAGTCACTTCAAATCAAAAACAAATCAAATTTTATTTGTATAGCACATTTCAGCAGTAATGCAGTGCTTTACATCATTAAACACAAAAACACAAAGTTATGTAACATTGAATAAAGAATCAAAAACATTAAATTTCCCGCCAAGTCGAAGTCCTTCAAATTGGCAGGAAAAAAAAGAAAAAAACAATCATCACACTTTAAACAATCATATATTTTAAAAAAGCACTTAAAGAGCTTTAGAGTTGTGATGCAAAATTTAATTATTCCGTTGTACAAGATAACAAAGATATACAATTCAAAACAGTTTTTATTCATTCATTTGGCAGTTATTTATTAAACCTTTCCTGTTGAACTACAGTATGCTATGCCATCTTTGTCCAGCAGGGGGAGCTCACATATAAATCTCTATTGAATCAACTATTATTTAAAAATCTGCCATAGTTTTTCTTTATAAAAATGTGATTGTTAAAATACAGACTTTTAAATATATTTTATTCTTAAACTTGGCAGAAGCGTAGCTCCATATCTGGTGCGTTGAGACGCTGTGTTTCAGTAGCGATACTGCCGTCGAGAGGTATCTGGGTTAAATGGGAAAAAAAAGATGCTCATAAAGAAACAAGAACAACAAATAAGGAGAATACACACAGGTTTTCTTTTTTTTTTTTTTTTTTTACTTACTGCATTCGTAAAGCCTGTTGACACGAGTGATGTCATTGGCGCTCATTTGACGGGCGTTTCCAAACTGCTGGTTAGGATTTGATTTTGCTTCGATGGTTGGCTGTCCGTTACTGGTGAAGTCGTATCTTACAGAAAACACAAGCAGATGCAAAGTAATACCACGGAAAAAGAGTTTTACAAAACAAAAAACAAACTGACGATGATTCAACAAAATGATCACTAAAATAAATACAAGCACAAGAAAAACTGTCTGAAACAGGGAGATAACGTAACATAAAAAAGAAATAAAACTGTTTGAGTTAAGTCGTAAAAAGGACTGTTTTTAAATGGGATTTTAAAGATAAACTCGGCCTCAAACGAAATTGTGGAATCTGGGATTTGCAAGTTAACAGTTTTAAAAGCATAATATATTCAAATATTGTCAAATACAGAGATGAAGACATGAATGAGTTTTTAGTTTCCTTTAATGCAAATAAGATTTAGTCCTTTTAGCAAGCAAACAAAACAAAAACACGATAGTTGTACTAATTTGTTTTTCCACTTTAATCAAAAAATGTAAAACAGCTGAAGAGTTGAATCATCTTGGGGTTTTGGTAACGAGTGATGATGAGATGGAGTGGAAAATGGACAGACTGATTTGGCATTTTGTGTTGCTGTCCCAAAAATGCAAACTTTTCAATTTACCGATTTTAGTTGTGACTCTTCAAATTCTGTATATGCATGATAAACCTGAGAACCCTCTCAAGAGAAACCTAATCTAACTCAAAAGAAGAAATCTTAAAAGTTGAAATATCTTCATACATGAAGGTATTTGTTTTTAAATCGTTTTTAGCAGACAGGGATGTATTTTAAATCAGCAATACTCACTTGCCGTAATGCATGACCGATGTAAAGTCGTAGGGAGTTACTAAGTTGTTCGTCTGTACTTTTTTGAAATTGCCCCTCTGTCCTGTTCATGAATCAGGATACAATTTTAAAAGATGTCAGAATTTAAAAGTATTTTTACTCTACATTTTTTAATGAACTGTTAAAACTTTAGCTGCTAACTTTGCTGGATGTTGTTGAAGAGAATCCGGACGTATCTGTCTCTGTCGGAGCGGACCTGCTCATGGTGGAAACCCAGAGCGTGAAGAATCTCGTGCTGCACAGTCGAGTGGTGCACACATCCTCTTCTCTCCAGCGAGATGTACTGTTGCCCTCTCTGACGGCCGATGTAGGACCAACACCTGCACAAAGACACTGCTACTTTTAAATACCATTATATTTAGACAGACAGAGAGAGGTTTCAACATTGCAAGCTGAGAGCAACAAAAACAATAAATATTGAAAATGCAAAGTTCTCAGTTTTGTATATTAAGTAAGACATAAATAAATTCACATGTGAGCTTGTTCATGTTAAAATCATGCTGCAACATCATCCTCCAACTACTTCCTGTTGTCTTCTTCTTTGTAGTTTGCTCCAGTAGTAACATCCACTTGTTGATAACGTGACTCGTGATGTGATAAAAGTGTTTCCAGTGTTTGCGAAATACAAAATTGCTGCGTTTACATTAAGCAAATTTATTTTCGTAATTTCAATTTGCACCATTTTATGGTTAATGGAAATGCAGTTGGAGCAGAAACAAAGGATGGAGCCGCCTCCACCTGTAGCGGCAGAGTTTAAATGAACATTTGTTTCCTACCCTCCGTTACGTTGAGAAAAGAAATGGATGTAATCTCGTTGGTCAGAACGTTTTGGGACAAATCGAATGCATGTGGTCTGGTGGAAGCTCTGCATGCCTCTGAGGATGATGTTCTTCTCCTGCTGGGCTGCAGATAACAGAAAAGTTACATCCATTAAAACTTTGGTTCTATAAATAACTTAATAACAGATTTGATCACATTTTGTTTGTAAATTAAAGCTAAAACTGCTTACAAAACTCAGAGGAGATTTGGTAAGGCACGTTGACGTAACGGCCAGATTTGGGCCACTTGCAGCCTCTGGCTGTACACGGGTCTGCATTCTTGAAAAAGGTGTTTGTTACGGCAACGTCTCCATGGAGAACGAGATTTTCTGCAACAAAAAATAGAAAGAATAGATTAATATCAATTTTAGTACAATTGAAAATTTGAAGTAAAAAGTAAAAATAAACACTGGAATAAAATTAATCTGTAAAATGATCAGCGAAGACAAAGAAACAAATCCAGCAAGATCAGCTGTGGTTGTTCAACTATGTTCACTGTGAAAGCAGTTGATTTGTTTCCATTAAATAAGAAATAAGATGGTAAAAAAAAAAACTTTCATGATTCCTGTGTTTTGGTTTTGTTTTGCGGCTTTTGTTATGATTTATTTATGGTTCATAGTTTTTGCATTGTTTGTTCTTTCAGGTCTGTTTTTATAAGTTGTTCTGGTTTTCCTCTTCCTGAATAGTTTTTGCTGTTAGTTTATTCTAATTTAAGTTTTTTCATTTTCTGTCAGTTTTTCTTTTAATTCCTGCTCATCAGGTTTTTTCCTTTAACTGTGATTATTGGTTTTACCTTTTGGATTATTCCTAACAAGTGCGTCAGTCAGTAGCTGCATGTCCATTGGCAGCATAATTGAGCCATTTGATCATTTGAAAATAAATTTGTTTCATGTACAGTAACTTTGAAAACTTAAAAAAAAAATTAATTGATATTTCAGAGCTACCAGTGCAATGACACTAAACAGACAATGGAGCCAAACTGAACATATAATTTAATTTAGTAAATTAAACATCATTATAAGAATTTTTAATATTTGTATCTAATATGAAGTGTTTTGTTTGCCATGAAGTCTAAAAGCAGAAATGGGACATTTGCACTCGTCATCCTAAACAAAATTACTTAAGTGTTTTTAAGTGACAGTTCAGAAGCAAATTTCTCTAATTAAAATTTATTTATCAGAGATGGAAGTTTTATTTGCTTTCTCTCCACTCACTCTTTAAATGTTTAATTTGCGTACTTTGAAGTTTTATTTATAATCTGTGCCTTACCTAAGTCCACTTTGGGCCTTGGGTCGTCGTCTGTGAACTCATCTGAAGGAGAAATCAGAAGATTTTTAGGTTTGAAATATTTGCGTTTTATATGTGTAAAGCTTCGTTTTCAACTCACCGGTTTGATTTTTCATTTCAGCAGGTGCACTCTGCAACATAAACACAAATTTACACATTAACAGCCAGTTAATAAACTTTTGGTTGACTAATCTGCTTTAATGTTTTCTTTAATAAAAAACATATTTTTTAAAGAAGGTATGTTTGTCAATAATTGCTTTTTTTTTTTTTTTTTGTTTCAAATTGGTTTCTGTCAGCTGAGGAAATTAAACCAGAAATCCCAAACTTACCAGACAGACATCCATCACTGAGATGAAGAAGAAGAAGAAAATAAAAGCTGGAGTCATGATGATGATCCTCACAAGTTTTATGTTGAAGTAAAGAAACAAAGAGTTGCTTGTCTGAAGAACCAGGAGTCAGAAATTAGCTGATCTTCATCTCCTCTCAGTTTATAAACTCATCTGAAAATGTCTTAAGGTCCTTTTAAGGCCAATCATAAATCCAAAACGTTGTCTGATAGGAAGAGTAAAAATAGGAAGTAAACTAGTAATGCTGTTACTGACACATGCAGGAGATGATGGCAGCATAAGTGACTCACAGTGATTCATCTAATGCAGTCACATGTTTCCTAACCTTACAGTATCGTCTTTGCACGGTTTGTAAATACACTCCTACTCACACGCTAACCTGATTCTTGGGGGATTTTTTTACTTGCTGTCTCATTTCCTTGCATGGCTAAAACTGTCTGATTCTCTCTTTTTTTAGACAAACTAGACAGTTCCAGAGAAAATGAAACACATGAAGCACATGATTATTTGTTTTGGTCATATAAGCCTAAAGCAACATTTCCACCCCCACCTAACGCCTTCCTGTCAGCTTTGACGACAATGAGGTTGAAAATTCAGCAAAGCCAAAAATTAGCAGGGGGGAAGAAGACTTCACTTTTCTGGACAGAGGTCTCCAGGGTTGTTCCTGAAATATGCTGCAGTAATCCCTCCAGTTTCAGGGCAACAGCCCCACCAGCACTGACACAGTCAGACACGCCATGCTTTTCTCTCTGAGTTCTTGGTATTTCCCAAGCTTCTTGATGTTGCTCTTTCTTAATGTTAGCCATCGCTTTGTTTTCTACAACATAATAAGGCCATTTCAGTTAGAATGACCTCCTTTTCTAGAAGATAAAGGAGTGCATTTCTGCCACAAAACTCAGAAATTTTGAGACATTTAGACATTTTCTAGAAAAAAACTAGGACTAGTTTGAAAAGTCAAAAATGTGCTAGAAAAAAATAATTTTCAGAATAATCTCAGAAATTTTCTACAAGAATTGGAAATTTTTGAAAAGTCAAAATTTCAGAAGAAACAAAAAAAATGTTTTAGATTAATCTAAAGACATTCGTACAGAACGCGAAAATTTCAGTTTGAAAAGTTGAAAATTTGCTAGAAGAAACTTTGTGAATACTCTGAGAAATCTTTAAAAAGCACTTGGAAATTTCTGAGTTTGGTGGAAATTTTGTTCTTTTATTCTATCTGCAATGCTCCTGATATGCCGTACTCTTCTGTCGATCACCGCCGCCTGCAGTTTGTTTGGGCATCATGTGTTTATTGGTCAGAACCAGAAAGTCCCTCAGGATCTTGATGTGGTTTCCTAGTTTGACTGAGAGAGTCTGAAGTATTGACACTGATTTCCTGATCAATATTTTAATCGTTTGGTTCTGGTGTTCCATGTGAACTTTGCTGTTATGTGTTTTACTGGACCTGGTCCATTTTTGCACCTGGTTTTTAGCAGAAGCTAATGCTAATGTGTTAAATTCAATTGACATACTCTGTAATGCCCTTATTTACTGACTTTGTATTTACATCTTGTTCTCCATTTTCTGTGTTTTGATGTTATTCTTGTATTTTTTGTTTGAAAAGGTTTTTGGGGATGAAAAATGCTGCATAAACAGTCTCCACCCACTTCAGAATAAGGCTGTGAATATAAACGGCTACTTTGTTAATTCTTAGCTGTAAATAATCGAAACTTCAACACAAATGCTGAACTTTATTCAACTGACACCTTAAAAAACAACCAGAAAAATTTATTAATTTTATCCATGTCTACAAGCCTTTAATTCTGCAATGAAGATAATACGCTGATCAATAAAAACACATACATTTATAATCAAAACCATGATTTTATTCCAGCCTCTCTGCAAAGTAAAAAGCAAAAAGCAAAAAGCAAATTCAAATCAAAGCTTTTAATAAATCTGGGTTAGAAAACTCCCATTTACATGAGATGCAATGTAACCTTTGGCCAGCAGGTGGCTCCAGATGATCTTTTTAAAAAGTGGCCAGATTTTTGCAGTTTAACTTTTTATGAGCTGATTATATTCTTGCAGCAGATCAATTCTTGACTATTGGCTGTTGTTTCTTCAGGAGATTTTATTCTGAGAGAGAAAGTAGAGACATTTAGAGACAACTAAAACAGTTTCAGAGATTTTTAAGACTTTTAAACTATTTTTAGTACTCACTGCATCTGTAAAGCGTGTTGACGCGGGCGATGTCGTAGGTACTCATCTTAGTGGCTCGCCCCCAGTTAAAGTTAGGATTGGACTTGGCAATGATGGTAGGCAACCCATTTTTGGAGAATGCATATCTTAAAGAAGATACAAATATATAATTAAAATGAAGTATGAGTGATTCTTGAAGATGATTATGCTGTTTCTTTCAGTATGGCTCTCCAGATAGGCCTTCCTCTTCCAAAAGTTTAAAAAGTTGTCCAATCAGAAAAAAACTAAAAAACTGTGCTAGGCTAAATCTCCAAGCTTTTGTATGAGTTTGAATGAATCACATCATGGGAGAGAAGTTTCCTGCAACTCACTTTCCATAATGCATGACAGAGGTGAAGTCGTAGGGAGTTCCCAAGTTGTTGGTCACTTCTTTTTTGAAATTGTTCTCTGCTCCTGTTCAGCAGTCAAGAAAAGACAAAGTATTTATCAGTTATTTTCAAACATTTAACCATAAATATTTTCTATCTGGAAACTGTAAAAACACAAACTGGAGTGTGGACCTGGGTTAATGTTTTGGGGATAAATCCAAACGTAACGGTCTCTGTCAGAGCGGACCTGCTCATGGTGGAAACCCAGAGCGTGAAGAACCTCATGCTGAACTGTACCATGCTCCAAACATCCATCTTTATCCAGGGAGATGAACTGTCCTCCCCTCTGACGTCCTACGAAGGACCAACACCTGACATGTTCCCCATGGAGAACAAAACAAAAAACCCCACATTGTTAATGGTGATGCATTTGTTTTACTCCATTTACTTTAGAGAATTATTCTAAATGTTTTCCTGCATTTTGAACCTCAGACCTCCCTAACACATAATATTTCTGATATTCTTCTTTTTATGCTGGTTACGTCAGGGAAACCGCATTGTCTAAATTTAGACACATTCTTATTTTACACACAAAAAAGTGAGAAAAACAGTAACATGCATAACAAGGCGTGGCTATAAGTGTGTTCAGAACTGTCTTAGATGCATAAAGATCATGTGATTCTTAGGCTCAATCTGCCGTTTCTAAGCCAGAATGTATGTATAGATTGTTTAGAGGTTTGGTTGATTAATCCTTAAGGCAGTGTTTCTCAATTCCGGTCCTCACGCCCCCCTGCCCTGCATGTTTTAGGTGTTTCCCTTCTGCCGCACACCTGGATTTGGTGATTAACAGGCTTCTGCAGTACTTGATGGTCATGCAATCATTTGAATCAGGTGTTCTGGAGTAGAGGCACATCTAAAACATGCAGAGCAGGGGGTCGCTGAGGACCAGGCTGAGAAACACTGCCTTAAGGAATAGTCATTATGGTTAGTGTTAGAGAAAATGACTGGGCATAAATGCAGTTACTAAAATGAGTAGAAGTCAACACAAAGTCATCGGTTCCCATATAAGTACCAGGATTGTATGCCTGTGTGTGTGTGTGTGTGTGTGTGTGTGAGAACAGTGTGTTCCTACCCCTCCTCTGATTTGAAGTAGATAAAGTCCCGATCGTTGCTGCTGTACGGGACGAAGCGAATGCAGGTGGTCAGCTCAAATATCTCAAGTCCTCCAAGAATGACGTTACGTTCTTCTTGAGCTGCAGAAAATTTTACATTTATTTAAATTATTTCATTTCATTCTCGACTGATAAGAAACTAATAAATGGCAATAGGCCGGTAACTTGTATCCAAGTATACCAAGGTTTAAAAAAATGCATTTTAAAAGCAGATAAAATGTTTCCACATCCAGTTTCGAGGATTCAAAGAATCTTTGAGGAGAAATCAGAGAAACTGGCAGTGATTAAATTATCTTCTGCAAGTCATGAGTGGTTAAACCGCCAGCAGAAAGCCAATACACACGATAACATGAGTTTCTTACTCTTGTAATTTTATGAAGAACAGAAAAGGTACAACAGATTATTAATGCCATGCTGAGGCAATAAAAAATACATAAAATTATGACAATGAACTCATCATATCACAAGAATTTTATGAGTTTACAACAAACATAAAGTCAGAATCGTACAATTTTATTCTCACAATTCTCATTTCAGTTTGACTTTATTCTCGTAATTTCATGATTTTGTTTGTAATTTTATTTATTTTATTTTTTCTAAGTATGGCCCTAGCACTCCATTGTAGTGCTAGGGCACAACATGCTGAACAAAAAAAAAATATTTAAAAAGTACTTAATGTACAGTTGTAGCTTTTCCACTTTGAATCTATGAATTAGATCATGCATCCTTTCTTTCTTAAATTTTTGTATTCATTCTG